TATGTACTTAAATGCTTCTATCCGAATAAACTACGAGTGTGGAAGAAGACACTCTCATCTTACTGTTCAATTCCACTTTCAACAAGCACCCTGTTCAAACCCACGACCAAAGGACCCGCCCTGCCGGTGGCCTCCCGAGACTTTGGAACACGTTCTGGGCAGCAGAACAGACGGTGGAGGTGGTCTTATCCTTTTTTCGCGGAGCGTACATACACCATGGATACCACAAGATGATTTTGGACTGAAAGACCGTCTGCATAGTCTGGGAGCCGCGATGACGGTGCACAGCTGCGATTATAGCACATGCTTTGTGCAGTATTATGCACTGGGGCGCAGCCGATAAAGGATTCACACACACATGAATAAATATGTGCCGGGGAATCCTTGTTTTCTTCGACAGTGCCACTTACTAACTCTCTCTGGGAATGAGTACGGTATGGTATATGGCTGCACTATGAGCCTACGCCGTGATAAACGTGCGCATCCTGCTCTCTTATCCATTCGACATACGCGAAGGATCCGCCTCAACGACAATGCCTTTCAATTCGAGGTCTGAACTTTGTTCAGAATGACCTTAACATGATCTTAAGATGAATGAATACAATCTGTCTCACTGAGAGAGTATGTGCAGTATCAGGGTTTTACGGAACAACCTTGTATCGAAAAACTAAGCCCTCAGCCTAGGATATGACGAGGCGTATGGGACGCACTGTTAAGACGCCCGTGAAACAAACGGAAGCAACCGCAATGAGGACAAGCTAGAATGGGGTTTCTATTTTTGTACTGAAGAAACCCTTCTCAAGGGGAATAGCTATTCAGAACGGTCGTGAAAGATGCAACTGGGAGAAGAAAGCGTCCCCTTTGCAGAGCATTGAGTGGGCGACGCAGGTGTTGAACGGTTGCGAATAATTGAGGAATGAGATCGGCGCCCGTCACGCGATTGGAAAACACAATTATGTATTCGTACAGCATGGTCGTGGCTCTATTGCTCATTTCGTCTTCCGATAGGAAACCAAGACCTCTCCAAACAGGAAAATTCCCCCTTTGACAGGGATAGAGGTTACTTCATCAGAACTGCCTACAGGCATGGTCTCTCCCTTGATATTTAAAGGGATCCCAGCGCGGGGAAGCCGCGCCTCTAAACCAATCTTCCAGCAAGCAAAATCTCTGTGCGAACTAAACATATCCTTCTTCTCTCTGTCAATTCTCTAGCTGTCACATGCCTCAAAACGACCAGCCTTCAGGCCAAGCCTGGGTGTCTCCCAGATATCCAGCATCTATCGATCGCACTGTGCTAACTAAGCAGACTCCTGGTCTGCGGAACTTTGGAAATACATGCTATCTAAATGCTGCGCTTCAATGCATTTTTCACACGCCCGCTCTAGCATCATATCTATACAAGTTTGTTGATCATCAACTCTGCGAATCTGGCAATTCGCGTTCACCCTGCTTGAGATGCGAGCTTGGTCTCCTCGCTAAAAAATTTTTCAAGTCCAAGGAACAGTCAGCTATCCGTCCGCAAGAACTTTTAGTAGCTTTGCATCAATTGAACCCGGACTACACGAAGAGAAATCAGCAAGATGCGAATGAATTTTTAACATTACTCTTTGACAAGATGGCTGAGCGAGAACTTGCTCAGATGCGTGATGCTAATCTTACAGTGATTGATTCTAGGCAAGCCCCGATAGCAAAGATTCTCAATGGGCTCGTTTTGTCCGCAATCACATGCGCGACCTGCTCATCCGTTCACGAAACCGATATTTCATTCTCATCGCTGAGTACATCCATCAATGAAGACCAAACTGTTGCCAATGCGCTCCGAGAACACTTTGCAACGATCCCTCTCCAAAACAAAGTTCATTGCAGCAAGTGCCGAAAGCGTACAACCTCATCGAAACGGGATTACATTAGAACAGCACCAAATGTCTTTCTGCTGAATTTGGCAAGACACGTAAGTGATACTTCGAGCAGCGAAGGATTGATCGACACAAGTTCAACGAAGGAATTCGCAGAAACACTAGATCTCGCCAAGTACATGAAACATGAGGGTAACCCCAACCAACACTTAATGTACACACTCAGAGGTATAATCGTTCATCAAGGAGAAAGCAAGGACGAGGGGCACTACACTGCGTACGTGAAAAGTAAGAATGGGATCTGGTTTCTTAAGGATGATGATGACACGTTAATGATACCCATCAGCCGGTTGCTGAAGCAGAAACCATACATGCTATTTTACAGCAGAGACGAAGGTGCGACAGGAACTATTCGGAACGATGTCGTCATGGAAGACTGTGGCGATGAAGAATTATCATCGCAAGCCCCAAAAAGGAATACTCGCGCAGAGTCTGGGTCTATTCTTCCAAATGTCGGTGAGGAAAGGCCTACTAAAATAGCAAGAACCAGTCCAGAGATGAGTGGCGACCTCGACTTCTACCAGAAAGGCTGCGGTATAAGAAAGAACACAGCGCACAGAGCAAATATGGATGGCCAGTCCTCTCCCAGAAAACCTCTCGAGTACGAAGAATACATGCAAAAAGTCAGAACTCAAGCGAACCCTGTAGCCGAAAATGCGCTCATCATCCCACCAGAAACTACCTGGCGATATCCACGCACCTTTTCGCCCCATCCCGACAGTGCCCAAGAGATTCTGGATGTACCTGGGCCAAACGAGATCATTCGGTATGTGGACCAGTTGCCAATGACTGCGAAGCCTCTGGTCACGCTTGAAGCAGGAGAAAGGCCACGATATCTTTCTAGCCTCGACCAACGTGCAATATCGGATGAAGCCCAGAAGTTTGTGGCCAATTCTATGATTCTGAGAAAGTTGGATGAAAAGAAAAGGCCCATGGCTCACAGGTCCATCATTAACCCGAAGAAAGTCTACTGGAAGCCAAATATCAGTTCCTACTCGATGAAGAAGTATAAGGACGTGTATGAAGGGCTCGTTGAGGACGAGACAGAAAACATTTTCGCTTCGCCCTTCAGTAACACAAAAATCTATTGCGCGTACGAATAAACCAGGTCTTGCTTCCTCCTAATAAAATAAGAGAACCATCTTCGCCCCCAACTCTCCGATTGTAGATGACGTTCTGCACACACTGCACGAACTGTCAATACAGTTCGATTAATTCATTTTGGTCTTTCCTTGTGTGTCGGCAGGCCAAAATCCATCACCAGCAGAGTCGGCCATTCGAAAGAAAGAATTGTGTGTACATGGAGTCAAGCTCCTTCTCGTAGTGTGGCGTGCCTACAATCAAAACCAGCATGCCTAAACTCAAAAATACGGGCCCTTAGCTTCAGTATTCAACACAACTCTGCTGAAATCAACTATACGCCTCAAAGGATCGAGCAAATCCGTCTCCTTCACAAGAACTGTGATTGAGTACAAGCTGTAACTGAAATTACTGCGGCAAGATTCAATCGATTCCTTCGGGAGGGGCGCTGCTCAGCCAATTTTCTCTGACCAGTTTAAGCCCCAGCGAGTGACAAAATATTTTCTAAAGGGCCGTTGTACCGGATTAGAGTTGTTGCAATTGAAACTCAGTTTAGTTCTAAAGGAGCAAGATATCTGCAGCTGCGATTTTTGCCATCCAGTGTAGCAATCATATCGAAGAACGTTTTACTTTCGTGGACATGGACAAACGGGATGCGAATGACGGCAAAAAGACGCTCCAAACACCAGAAATAATGGAGCACGTCGGAAACCGAAGCAAGGTAGGAGGGGACCAAAGAACGATGTGCACCCCAAGGCTCCCGAAAAGATATCCATGAAATGGCCAACCACTATGCAGTGGTAGAAATCGCTGTTGTTGCATCTCGTCATCACTAGCTAGAACTTCCCTATTTCAAGAAATAATGGCCTCTTTGCGGCGTGAAAGGGCTTACGAGACCCTCGCTGAATGGCTTTTAGAAGGATTGGCATATGGGAATGTCGTGCTTCCAACTCGACCCTCGACGTGCCTCAATACGGTAGGTTCCACCGAGTTGATGTACGAAAAATGGGGACTTAAAAAGAATTTCATATTAAGAGACGGAACTCTAGCTAGATAGGGATCAATCCAAGGCTTCAGAAAAGGTTTCAATGAAGATCTCAGACCATAGCTCTTCCAACGAAAAATATGATTCAAATGAGCACACCAGTGTCAGCTCTTCACACGAGCATGAAGACGAGCTTCAGGCCAAGCAGCAAAAGGAAGGCTCTCTACAACAAAAAGAAGAACTTCTTTTGATGAGAATGGAGGTGAGTGTGAAGGTAATCGTCCTGGCAACTTTTTCGAAGAGTACCATGATGACGTCGATATGGAAGAAGAAGAGTCTGATGAGAGCCAAAACCAAGACAATGGTCAAGCCCTGTCCCCAAAAGATGTTGCGGGCGAACTTCATGAAATCAGCCTGAAAGAAAAGGAAATTTTAAATAAGAAGGACACCGTGGGAGGTGCGGTTCTCATCAGGGAAATTGAAGCGCTCTCTGGCGACTTCTGTGATATCAATCTTGTGGACATTGACGATGTCAGGGGTGGAAACAAGGGCTGCAGTTGCATCCACGCGAAGCCTCCCGTAGAGAGTAGTTACAAATCGGTAGAATTTGTAAATTTCTTCTGTGCAAGCTTGGAGATTCATTGCAAGCCTTGCAGTCTTGTTCCTAATAGTTTTTATCTGCATGTCGCTGGCACAATAGATACGACAGAACGGAAAAATGAAGACAAGCGAATCAAGTAAAAATTGCGGTACCGTACGTCTCGTTCGCGCATCAACACAATGCGTGACACTAATCACCTCCTACGAAGGACGAAACGTCAAAAAGCCTGGCTGACCGTGCGTTGTCTACCTCTTCCGGTCGATGCCCGCAATGGCAAACCTGATTTCCTTCTCCACGTCAACCATCTTGGGCCTCTCTTGCATCTCGCATACGATCTCGCATCCTCCTTTCCTCTCAACAAAGACCGTCCATTTGCCTGTTCCCCTCTTCAACAACCACCCCCTGCCCGCCATGTTCTTCAAGTAGTAGGCGGCTTCGAAGCCGTCGACAAACTCCCCAAACCCGCCAAGCCTCGCAAACCACCCCACTCTTTCCAAGGCGCAGTTGACCCTGAGCATTCGCTCCGTGCCCCTGATGTTGATTGCCTCAAAGTCAGCGAATCGACGTCCACGCCGGCGTTGAGCAAGACGGTAACGACGCGTCCCCCCAGCTTGTCAACGGGGGCCTTCAAGCCGACCATGACTTCGTCGTCTGTCAAATATTCACCACCTCCTTGCGGATTGATATTGTCACATATCTGGATGTTGGGCCCCACTGGGGTTGGAGAGGAGGCGCCCAGTTCGAGTAGGAGCTTTTCGGCAAAGTTGAGGTTGTTTTCGTAGCGCGAGACAAGAGTGCCGGTGTCTGTTTCGGAGCGGTCCGGAGGGAAGTCGAGGGTGAGGTGGAGGGTCGGCGGGTTGGCGGTGACGAGCGACTCGACTGCGGAGACACTGTGAGAGAGGATTTGGGCGTAGCTTACCGACGGGCCGCGTGGTGTGGCGGTTAGGGGAAGGGAAGTGGAAAGCGTGCAGCGAGCGGGGGAGTGGTGGGGGGGAAGATGAAGGGAAGGGGGGAGGGCGGAAATGAATGACAACATGATGAGGGCAAAAGAGGGAACGGTGGTGGCGATGGAGGTGATGAAGAAGTCGAGCTTATACATAAGAGATGGAGCTGGGCCTTGTTGCTCCCTTGTTTCTTATACACGTGGGTGTGATATTCCGTGCGCACGCGTCGGTGGCCACGAATCTAGATTAATGAATGGCGAGGATTGGAAGATTTAGCAGAGGTGGGGTCAGATATTTCATTTGATGAAAAAAGGGGCGTTCAAGGACGGATTGGGCACTCTCAGACGCGTTACAGGAGGGTATCCCGCCTGATAGAGCAACCGAAATTTTATGAAAGAAACAACTGCAGTTCCCATTACCGAAGGGTACATTCCGTATGGAAGATTATTCCCCCGCCTGGCAATCGCGCTCCAGCACACCTCCTTCTCTCTTGAACATTCGTTGAAGACTACACTTGGGGCGGGTGGCCGAGGCCACCACGCTATTTTGGAATCGACCCAGAGACTGATGCGATGCTACCTCGGCTCAGACGGGTGAGCAGACTATGGATATGCGAGCGAAGAGCATGTGAGCGTGGTCTTCAATGACAGCAACCGCGCAGGTGGTCTGGGGACTAAGGGTGTGAAAGGCATCAGGCATGAAAGTCAATCAAGATCAGGCACAAGGTGGATGTCCACAATGTGTGCGGCTTGGCGGACAGTGCGGCGAAGACAGGTGCGAAGATTGCGGACCTTACCATAGGCAGCGTCTTTAGCAGAGCTAGCACAACAGAGTGCAGCTAGTTCGAGGGCAATGCAGCGGGGGCCAATAGGGGGCTGGTGTGCACGGCCACTGGATGCGTGTGCTGCAGTGGAGAGAACGAGGAGAGAGATAGGCAGGGGTGGAATGCCATTGAGACTTAACGTGTATGAAGTATTATCTCAGGACGTACGGCCTTCTATGTGAGATGTTGGGTCATTCTGGGGGAACGAGGTCGGGCAGTAGACCATATACTGTACAGGAAGCTCGCAAGGGAAGCGGCGTGAGCTGCAAGGCTCATGCGGCGCAGACTGGCGCAAGATCTGCGACACTATTACGTAGCTCAGGTTGCTTGCATGGGCAGTGATAGAGCATATGTGGGTCATCCACAATGGCATCAAGACCTGAAACCATTTTGCAATTCATTTGTAAAAAGACAATTAATCGCAATTGGTACAGTTTTTAGAGCCGTGTAATACCGGACACAGCACGATGTATACAGTACTGAAGACATACGGTATCTGATGGTTTCCTGTAGCGTTGCAGGATAAAGAAGAATTGAAAAGCTATTAATCGAAACTTTATAAAGTCAGTTTGGACAAATGCACTCTCCTGTGTAATAAAATGCATGATGCAACCCTGCTTGGAGAGTTTATATTTGATCCCCCATTTTTTGATGTTGCCTGGGCGACCACCTGGGCGACTACCAGTCATTAATACTGCCTTACCATCCGGACAATCCCTTAGAACCTTATTCGGTGAGTAGGCATCTACTTCAGTACTGTTACCCTTGATTCAGCAGAACTGGACTACGACGGTTAAAAAATAAACACAACTCTGTCAGTCGGGGTTGTTTAACAACAGGTGTTTTTCGGTGTCAATAAGCGATGAGGTATATTTTACCGAAGCATGAATATGCAGTGGAAAATTTTGAACGAACGACAG